TTCCCTGAAGGTGAGTGTGAGGATGCTCACGCAATACTTGAAGTACTGGTTTTGTTAAAACCAATTGAAACCACAAACTTGAATAACATAGTTTCTGCAGCAGGAGAAAGTATAGATGAGCTGGGCATAAACTTTTCCTTGTCCCTCACATATCCTGGCAGTATGACTTCTCCACTTTTCATAGTGTCCTGCCTTGCAACAAACTCACAACTCCTCAAGGACCTGCAGAAGAAAATCTTCCTATCCTTCATCTTTGCCTTCCAGTCTCTGTCCTTGCTGAACCCTGCAGCCACCCTCTGCCCCATGAGTTCCGTGTCTCTGAGGGCACAGGTAGGGCTTGGAGGCATCTTGCCTCCCTCCTTGCCACTCAGCCACAGCCTTTGCAACAAAATACACAGCATTTATGTATACTTACCTGGAGAACTCTGTACCACCACTCCTGGGGAGGTGTGGGCTAGCCTGGGCAGCAGCTCTTCGAGCCAGCCGTTTCAGCCATCAGCTGTCCCCACCACGAGACACATCACACTCTCCAACACAGCTCTAATCTGTTGCTTTTGGGCTTCTCCGGCAAACCAAAAGATACAGGGAGTTGTGCTCTCCCCATCATTGCTGCTCTGCCTCTCCTTAACATGCCTGCCTTAAGGAGGGGACCGGGCTGACAACACTCCCCTTCTGAGGCTCCCTTGTGTCAAACTGCATATAATCACTCCATTTCCTGAAGCATAAGGGCTGTTGAAAGAAATATGGCCACAGCATTTCATGTGCTAACCCCCTCGATTAGTCTTCAGCGGCAGGAGTGGTTCTCCAGTGGTCTTGACTACAGCAACCAGTGGAGAGGGGCTGTTGGGAAAAGCCATGGGAAAAAAGGAGATAAAGCCAGAAAATAGAAGTCAGATCTGCTGCTGCTTATAGAGAACACCACAAAAATGTGCTAATGGAGCAGTTGGACACAGGAAAACTCTGCTGGACAAGGCACATAAAATTTCCTCAGTCATTTCATCAGCATACAAAGCCCTGACCCAGCTGCAGCGCTGTGACAGAGTCAGAGCCATTCCGGCCCGTTAGGCTGCCTCACACTTGATTCGTCCAGCAAGACAGCTCCCGTCTCGCCCTTCCAAGATGCACCAAGGTTATCAGCTATGATATTTTTTGAATGAATGCATAATATTAAGACTTGTTCATTCACACCATTAGAGAGCACAGTATTTAAAACTTTCTTCTACAGGAAAAGAATACCCTGACTTTTGAGAGTCTGCTCTCCTCCAATGCCACTGTGTATCTGACATATAACCACTGAAGCCATGGCCAGCAAGAACAATGTTTCAAGGAATATTTAGAGATAGTTTTGCCTTTTCCACATATGGATCCATAGATATTTTTACATCATTGAACAGTGTTGTCTGCTGTGTTTGTTGGCTTGTGGGGTTTTTTTCCAAAATTCATGAGAAAAACATAAGTTCTCAAAAACAGTCACAGTATTTCTTGTAATCTGAGACAATGCTGAGCTCCTCCATTGCAAGATTTCCACTCTGTGTGTTCAGCAACAGAACGTGCCCTGAGAGGCTTCTCAGCAGAGTAGAGATACTATGTCTATATTTAATCTTGAACATATTAAAAAAAAAAGAATTCAGTTTATCAAAAAATCAAATTGCTCTTGGAAAAAGATATATTCTGATCTGCAGTGCTTCATTACCAGGGCTATACTTTTAATGTGCACCTTCAAAACTTGAATCCTAACAGTTTGTTCCTTTCAAGCTTTACAGACAAAGTACAAGATTCTCACAGTGCCGAGAAGCAGGTGTGCTATAACTGCTGCTGCTGCTAGGGACATTGCTGTGGTTTTATTACTTAGATGTCTGTCTTAGATGCTGTCTTAGAGAGACAGGTTTGATTTTTTGAGCCGCCAACCTTCAGAGCTACTCAGCAGTTTCGAAACACACCTCCTCAGAGCCAGAGTTACAGGGCAGGTTATGCCACCTTAAATTGGCTTCACAAGGATCAAACATATCCCACCAATCCTCACAGAAGACATGCAGGAACAGGCATAACCTGAACTACTTTTGATAATTCCACCTTCAGCTCATGACAATTCCCTACTCTGGAGCAAAAGCAACAGCTGAGGTCGGAATGGCCAGACTGGCATGTTCAGGGAGATTTTCTCTTGATGTACAGCCTCTCAGAAAAACTCATAAATCTGTTCCCACAGCTAAAAGCTGCTGCTCTGGTTTGTTAGACTAGCCCCCAGCTAACTCATTTCATGGGAACTGACTGCCAGTACATCTCATGATGTCTTTAAAAGGCTCTGAGCAGCGAGTGACCCCAGGCTATTACAGACAGGCAACTTGCTTCTTGAAGTTTTCCCCTAGCAGCACCCTTGTTTCTTCTTCATGCATTTACTTTACCTATAAACTCAATTGATTTATAGTAGGAATATCTAGTAGCAACTGTTATTTATAAGTACTCCCAGTTCTAATACAGGAAAGCCAAGTCTCTTGATTCACTACACCGTGGTGCTACATGAGGAGTGTCTGTCCCTTGGAAAGCGAGAAGGACCGGTCAGACCCACGGGCTGTATCTCAAAGAGGTGTGAAAGGATCCCTGTTTTCTTCCACAGGGAAGTGTGTTTTTCTAGAGCATGAACCAAGGGAGAGAAAAGTACTGCAGAGAACTAACTGAGTATTTGTCTGTTTGCAGTCAGAGCAGAAAACGGGAGTAAAGGGGGGAAATTTAGAGGCAGAACAATTTCTTTGTTCCTTCAAAGCACATGCTCCCTTAAAAGCTGCTGTGCTTCTCAAATGTAACAGCATCTGTATCTTCATGATCCCCAGGCCACAAAGATTAGATGCAAGTGAGGCTGCATCTCCCCACATTTAAGGAGCTAGCTGAACGTGGACTGCACAGAACAAGGGTATTATGTTTCCTAGATCATAAACCAAGAAGAGTGTTTTTATGGAAAATGCACACTACTGCATGTAACATCCAGTGAAAATTTTCCCAAATCTACACAACACACAGAGCCTGTGCTCTCCTTGACACAAGGGGACGTCTATTGATGCTAAAAGACAAAAAAATCATTACAGAATAAATGTAAGCTAGGTATGTACACTGGTATTTGAAGAAACACTGCAACAGAGAACCCCATCACTGAAGGGGTTACCAAAGAAAAGCCCCAAAAGGCCATCAAGAAGGCAGTTACTTATGTGGGTAGGAGCTGGCTTATGAAGTAAGAGGTTAAGAAGTAAGAGCTGTGCAGAACTCGAGAACCACATCTGAAGATACACTGCCCTTTTCTCTTAAAGAGCAGCAGAGTAGCAAACTGTGAGCAGCAGACAGCAAATCATCTCGGGCACGCTGTGATACTGTGCAGCTGCTTCAGGGTCTCCTGCAGCAACTCCCGTTTCACAGTCAATTAAGGGTAGATTCTACATATTAGACAATCGCGGGCCCCATCCAATTAGGTCCAACTGATGAAATCTAGGGACCATGAATCCGGAAGTTGTTTTTAAGAACAGAAGGAAAATAATAACAAAAATTTCTGAAGACCATAGTCTCCAGACTGACAAAAACTTCAGCTGTATCAGAGCATGTTTCATGGTATTTCTGGATAAAGGACAACTCGCCCACTGCGCACTAGAAGCAAATAGAAACATGCGCCAACTCACCTGACCTGTGCATATCCTACAAACTGGGGGATGATAAATTCCACCTCCACTGCCACTGAAAATACTACTGCACAATGCCAACAGCACTGTAAATTATTTACTATTGCCCAGAATCCTCCATGAGCCCCGAGAGCCCTTTCTCCATCAGCTCTACCCATTTTCATTTGGTAAACAGTGACTTTTTCTCTGCCTTACAACTGAAGCTAAATATAAGCCCCGTCCATTTCATAACTACCCAAACTTCCATCAGAAATGTGTTTTATGCAGCAGCACGAGCACTGGGAATAAACTGGGGTTATGCATAGCTGTGAAGGACCAGCAGAGGAAGTAAATTAGGCATCAGAAGAACCATCTCTCCCTCTTCAGGATGCTTTGAGCAGACTACAAAATACCACAAACTGAAAACCAACATATCATCTTTAAAAAAACATTTCCAAGAAAGCAATTAAACCCACTATTCATAGCTGCTTTTTTTTCTGCTCATAATTTATTGAATCAAATTAAACAAAACAAAACATAGACAAACACATCTGCATTCCTTATGTCTCATCTGTAAGCTAGTCCTTTAAAATAAACA